GCATTTAACCAGACGTTGGGCTACCTCAGTCCCCGCTCCGCCACATCGTTTCGAGATGCGTCGGATGAGGTGTGTTGTAGACGCCGCCGTCTTGCGTGCCGCTTGAAGCCACTGCTTGGCTGAGCCGGACTGGTGAATGAGGAGTCCCAAGATCTTGGCTTGTGTAACCATCGGAAGCTGTGTCGACCCTATTCTGAGGGGCATGGGAGTCAATGGCAGTTTCTTCCGGGCAGCGTTGTTGCACACATGAAGGAATTGCGATTTCTCGGGAGACACCGTCAGGCCAAAAGTCTTTGTATGGCAGTCTAGTTTATTCAGCCCGGCCTGCAAGGCATTTTGTTGCACCTCTAGGGATGGGTGAACTGACCACATTGTGACATCATCAGCGTAAATTAAAAAACGAAGGTGTTGTATATCAGCGAGAGCCCAGGCCAGGGGAAGGAATGCAATGTTAAATAGGAGTGGTGCAAGTACTGAGCCTTGGGGCACGCCACAGTTTGATAGGAAATTGGACGACTCGCCATATGATAGGCGGACGGCGAAAGTTCTGTCGGTAATGAAGGCGTGGACAGCATTTATGACACGAGGTGGGAGGCCGAGGACCACCATTGCCTCCAACAGGGGGGCGTGAGCGATATTGTCATAGGCCTTTGATATGTCAGTAGCTACAAGTGTGCGAACCAAGTGGCTATAGGGTGACAGATGTAGGACTTCCTTTGCAAGGCGGTCGAGGCCATCTTCCGTTCTGAGATGTTGCCGGAATCCAATTTGGTTGGGGTGATAGAGACAGTGGGCCTCCAGCCACCAAGAGATACGTTTAGCCATCATACGCTCATAGATTTTGCAGATGGTGGGAGTCAGTGATATAGGCCGCAGAGCTGTGAGGCCGGTCGGTGCCTTGCCCGGTTTGGGAATCGGCACTACAATCGAATGTTTCCATGATGTGGGGAGCTCGCCGGCTTCCCAGATCTTATTGATGATAGCTAGCAAATCTGTGACTGCCTCTCCCTCGAGGTTCTTGTACACTTCGTACGGGAGACCGTCATGTCCTGGAGCAGAGCGGCGACTAGCACTCTCGATGGCGTCTTGGAGCTCAGCCAGAGTGAAGGGCGTAGTGATGCCAGTAGTGTCAGGCATAGCCGTGACAGGGCGCGGGACCGACGGGCTGGCATGTCGAGGGAAAAAGGTATCCGCCGCGCGCGCCGCAAACTCATCGTCGGTGAGCCCCAGACGCAACTGAATGTTGCCAGTCCGGCCTTCAGCTTGGCGAGGTCGTTCCATGGCGTGAAAAGTCCGCCAAAGAGCCTCAGGGTGCTTCGGGTTACTCAACGAGGCACACCAGTCAAGCCAGCGTTGGCGTGTAAGTCGTTTCTCGTGGCGGCGTGCCTTAGCTGCTACGTGGGAAGCCTCATCCTGAAGTTGGTGGTCGTCGGAGTGTAAGGCTGCCAATGTGACCGCTTCAAGTCGCTGTTGCCACAGGCGGAGGAGGTGGGGATCAGGTGTTGGTTGATCACAGTGCACCGTGGTAGTCGTGGTGCAGTCTATCATGGCTTCTTTGATGTCTCTCTGAACTGTTTCTGGGTTCTGCGCCATGATGTTAAGAGATGATCGAAGTTTATCCCAATCGGTTACCTGAACTTGCTTCCGGAGGCGGTTATATGCCGTTGGGAACCATTTGATAATGATCGGAAAATGGTCACTTCCCCAAGTGTCGTCTTCAGTCCTCCATGCCGGATTGCCAGTCCCACGCCACCAGGTGAGGTCCGGAGCGTTGGACGGGTTCCCTAGGCGAGTGGGACCCGGCAAGTTGAGAAGATGGAATCCTCGATCGGTGAAGCGATCGTATACTTGACGGCCTCGGGGGGAATCGTGCTTGTACCCCCACTTCGTGTTGGGGGCATTGAAGTCGCCACCCACGATAATAGGTATGTTGGGATGGAGCGAGAGAATGTGTTCAAGCCACCCGAGATTATGACGGACGTTTCCAGGTTTTCCGTAAAAAGAGACTGTCACAACACAATTGTTGCGTGTCCGGACGAGGACAGCCACTACCTCCTGGCGGGAGGTGCACCATTTTGATAGGTCTATTGGGGCGTGCTGAAGATGATCTTTGACATAGATAGCCGCTTTGCCGGGCCTAGAGGGCTCGGAGTCTGAGGTCGTTAAATGCCGGGCATCAGTAATGGACGGTGAATGGTAGCCGCAGTACGTGGGGATACGAATGAGTTCCAAATGTTCTTGTACAAGGATGAGCCATGGATTGAGCAGATGATACAATATTCTAGTGCGTAGTTCCCCAAACGTTTGACGGCTACTACGACAATTCCACTGTAATATGTGGAGCGGAGGGGCTGGACGACACTCTACTGTCGACTCATCCATCGCTGCAGGATCATAAGAACGGCATCTAGGGAGGATTGCATTGCAGCGATTTGACTTGTCAGTGTGTCCAGTGCTTTGGCCACGGACAGCAAGTGACCGGTTACATCATCAATGTTGACATTTTCTGCCGCTGAGGGTGACCGGGCCTCCTGACCATGCCGTGGGGTACGAGACGGCATGTTCTTGGCACCCCTGGGTTGATGACAGCTGCTGGATTCTTGCGAAGCTCCATGTAGATCTTGAGACGAATGTTGAGATGTGGCTGTCTTTCGTGGCGGTCGCTGAAGTTTCCTAGTGGCCTTGACAATCGCTGCGTACGAGGGTTGTAGTGCCTCAAGGCCGTCGTTTGATGATACCGTGTGATCACTTTCCTCCTCTTCCCCTTCTTCGGCTAGGGCTTGGAATCGATTTTTCGTCAAAATCGATGCTTTGCCGGTATGAGGAGCGGGCTTGTCAGTCTTACGGGATTTAACATCCGCCAGCTTCTTCTTTCTTGGACACTTTGGTGAGGCAATTGAGTGATCGTTAGTGCGGCATAAGCCACACTGGTAGCGCGCGCTGCCGTCAGCGTTGACCAATTCAGGGTTCACAGTTTGTACAGGACAGAAGGCCTTCATGTGTCCTGGTTGGCAGCAACGGTAGCAGATAACCGTAGATGGCTTGTATTCTCGTGGGCGCAGGATCGCCCCGAGGTGATAGATGATTTCAGGTATTTGCTGCTCACCTTGAACGGTTAGGAGGTATGTGTCTCCCTTGCCTAGTCGGCGAGCCGCCAGAATTCTGTGAGATGGTGTACGGAGATCAGGTACAATATCTTGATCAGGGTGGTCGGGTACAACGCCTCTCACTACACACCGATGGACGTTCGGACCTGAAGCTAGATACGCTTGCACCTGCACAGCTCGATTACCCTGCTGTTGAACAGTCAATAACTTTGTTAGCTGGAAGGCGTCCTCTAGCGTGGAGACGTATGCCGTGGCAGAATTGGATGGCTTGTGACGATTTAGCCCTTGGTAAGCAGTGGCGGAGATGACTGCAAAGATTGCTGTTTCAATCTCCCGCGTCGTCACTTGATAAAAGTCCATTTGCTCCCGAGGCCGGATGTTCACCTTGTACATTTCGGTAGGTTTCTTTTGGACCGACGCTGTGTTCCTAGCTTGGGGAGTCGAGCACGTTGCCGATACACTTGGTCCGGCCGTTTGCGGTACCACTTCATTCGTTTCCATTGAATCGATTTGTGACTGCGGCGTCGGGGGCGAGGTACTCACCTCAGGTGCGATCGGAGCCGAGGCGGACATCATGCCTAGGCGTAGCTCGGGTGAGCTAAGCCTCGCCCGGGTGTCATTTGAATCGGTGGGCCCGGGTGTCGAGATCTCTCCCGGCCTGGGGCTCCCTGTGATTCCTTTCTTCGCTTTGGGTCGTCGGAGTCCCGGAACGGTAGTTTCGACGTCGGTTGAAGCCGATTTTCTTTTCAAAGATGCGAAAGCGACGAAGCTCGGAATAGCCACGTCAGTCTTTAACACGCGCTGCACGCGCTCCATTTGAATAGTTCCTTGGTAGCCGCAGCTAACGCGTCCATACCTTGGTCACCCAACAATCATTGCTGCTAATTTGCTATTGACGCCATTGTCAACGAGATGCCCGAGATTGAATCATTATATTTCACGATTTAAATGCAGTTTCGAATATTGTGACGTTGCGTTTTGCTGATTGGTCGACGCGTTGTTGCAGCTTTAGTTCACAATCTAAACGCGAGGGGAATATTCGGCGCTGGCGGCAGCCTTTGCTCCGCCTATTGGCCAAACTCTCCCAATGTAAGGCTCTGACTTATATCAGAAACAGTATAGAGTGCTTACCAAGAAATGTGTTGCTATGTTCACCCTGTCACACGCGGACGCTACGAGCCATCGGAACCAATCCAGCGCTTCGTGACGTGATCTTCAGGAAAGGCACAGCGACTACTGATCTCCACTAGAGGGCTGGATGGCGCATTGAGCAACCAAGTATGAAGCCACCGGAAGTAAGCGGCTTGTCCCGGAAGTGAGCGCTTGACATGTTTTTCCACTCTTACGAGTAGTGGTCCAAACAGTGTCCAAGGCGCTTGATTTCCATTTGTTATATCAAGAAAGACTGCTTGTTGCGCAATAGCGGGTCATTCAGGTCCGAGAAGTCTCCTTGGAAGCCATTTGATGTGTGAGAATTTCGAGATTCTACTTGATTAAGTGTACATGCCCCAAGTTCAAATGCCTCCTTCTCAAGATTGATTACTAAAAGGGATTATTAAACCCCATGTAAAAATGCAAGAAAGCGTGAACCAAAACATTAACTAAATGCACTATGAAAGCCAGCAGACACTCGACTTCCGGGACAAGCATCGAACTTCCGGTGGCTTCACTCGCGCCCGACTCGGAGCGCGGCTTAGCGCCATCCAGCTCCCTATAGTAAAGATCAGTGACAGCGATGCGCGGGGCGCGTAGTCATGTGACACGTTCACAGCGCTGGATTGGCTAGGATTGATTGGTGGCGTCCGCTGTGATCCATCGTCAGACGACGCTGCAAGCTACAGTGGCCTACACTGCAGTAATTTTCGGCCGTGTCCGTTGTCTACCTGTCGGCAGTTCAACATCATCGAGTTCGACAGCGACACGTTCCAGCTGCTGGTGGACTACCTGCACTGCGGCTCGTGTCCGCTCACCTGCGAGGCCATCCCGGCTCTCATCTGCGCGGCCGAGCACTTTGACCTGCCCGAGCTGCTCCAGGCCTGCTTCCACCACGCCAAGACGCACTTGAGGCTGTCCGTCGTGTGCGCCATGCTGAACGTTCTGGACAACTACTACTGGCGCTACACGTCGGCCACCGAACTGGTCAACATGATCCTGCAGTTTGTGGACACCAGAGCCGTGGCCCTGTTCTCCCGGCAAGAGTTCCTCGAGCTGTCCGAGTCCATGTTCCAAAGCATCATTGGCAGGGAGCTCAACATCCCTGAGGTGTACAAGTTCGAAATCATGCTCCGCTGGGCAACGCACCACGTGACTACAGTCACCCGGCCTGGTAAGCTCCGCCTTGTTGGTAATTCGCTTCTCGTTTGGCAGGTTATGGCTGGAACTCAAGAGACTGAGTATCAGGCTGTCGATAAATGCTAACGCATCTTTTCTCGCCAAACATAAGACGTTGGACGAGGTAGCTATTTGCCTTCGGTTACTAAACTATATTTTCCCGTCGAGAAATATTCTTAAAGCGCGGCTTCATCGTTTATTTCTGTCTCAAGAGTGGGTTGGGTCAGTAACTTTAGGTCTGTAGAATTCACTCGCTACCTTTGGTACGAGAGGACGTGGTAACGACGTCAGACGAAACGTTTATAATTGAATAAGCGCACGTCGAAGTTCTAGTAAAACGTAGTATATGTTCACCGTTATAACTGCATCACGGCCGCCGAACGCGTGATCCAGCGTCCGTGCCTCTACATTGTTATTAGTACTACTTCTTATTTATTACGAACTACAACGAGGACTACACGGGTGAGCGGAGAGTATTGACTAGCGTTCCCAAAAGGCATTGCAGCCAAGGAACTTTCTGCAATTAAGCCCAAACACGCTTAACTCTCTTCTTATTTTATTGCTACTAGCTTATTGAACGTAAGACTCTTGTTTATTTTCTCTTCAGACCCGCAAGAGCTACAATGCACCATGAGTCGCCTGACACGAGAACTGAAGCTCCATCTCATACCTCCGCAAGAGTTGATAAAAGTAAGTATAAAATGTAAGTATCAAAAAACTTTCTCTTCGTGTTTTCTTTCTGCAAAGTAAAAGAAAGCACTTCGGAAAGCAACCTTTGTTTTCGAGCATAAACTCAATTTTTTTTTACCCCGTTCACATTCACGACAGCTAGCGCGTGCTTGTGTTTCCTGCCACCTATGTTTCCTGGTGAGTGATGCCTCGATGGGCCGTTCCGCGTTATAGGGTGGAACCATTTCGATACATCGCTCACAGTCGACAGCGCTGAACAGGTTTTTATTATTATCATTTTGCACGTTGAGACGCATATATATATAGGGTTGTCTAAATTGCTTGCGGGGCGCGTTTTTTTTTTTATGCATTAGGTTGTATTGCACTGTGCTATGCTTACCCTATCATCCTTGAAATTTTGATCAACACGCGTGCGAGTTGCATCGAGAATATACATCGTACAAAGGACACAGACACTGTCTAAAGAGTGTTATTTTCTTCTATGGCGGTTCTGTCGCATTGGTCACACAAAACACTGTCTGCTTCATGCATACTCGAAGCATGAATGAAGGGGCTTCGAAAATTATCCGCGTAAGCGGATAATTTTGTTACCATATTTATCCGCAGCTAACATCGTGCCTTTCGTAACAATGTGGGAGAAGCGTGGCCGCGGCAGTTTACGATACCAGCAAACTGCCTCCGGATATTCTGGAAACGGAGACTGTTGATTCGAAAATGTTTAAGAAATTTAAAGATTTAACATGTTTTTTTGTACTTTCCACGTTAATAGCATTAACGTTGGAGGCCTGAAGAGCCTTTCTGCGTCTTCTTCGCTTCATTTTTTAATTTATTTTTTTGGAATGCAGGCAGTGATGCTGAACATGCTCGCGTGCGACAAGATTTAGGGAATGGTAGAATGTCGCAAATGTCATGTCAGAACATCGACGCGCTGGATTCGCGCGAGCTCCCAGCAGTCGCGAAAAAGTGAAGCATCAGTCACGTAGAAAAGATATAGCCGACAAAAAATATATAGCCGAAGTATTGCCAGTGCTGAAAGAAAATGTCTGGCAACCACACTCTTTAAATTCAAGAAATTTTATCGGCTGAAAACAAATAAAAACAGTCGCGATTGGCGTGAATATATTTTTAACGTCCCGAATAAGAATAGCGACTTTCAGACGCGAAAACTCTGAGCGAGCTGGTGCTAAGCCTCTACTTGTCGCACTTCATTTGCAAGGTACCGACTCTATACCGTGCTGTTTTAGCGGGGGCGCTTAGGAATCTCCCTATACCGTATACCGCTGCTTTTCTTATTGCGTTTTGTTCGTACTAAAGCGAGCGCAGTGTGCGTGTCAGAATTGATTTTTAGTTACGTCTTCAACCGTGCAGAGACGAAACACTCCAACTATCCGGCGACAGCCTTATAATTGCTCAACTCGGCGGACCGTCGACGTCGCCCGGACCAAACGGGCGTCTGAATAGTGTCGTTCGTATACAACACGCGCTTCTTAGTTTTCTTCGAACACAATCCTGGACACGTATACTGCTGTTTACTGGGGAGCGATCTATCCTCGGTTTTAACATTAGGTCCCACCTCAGCCGGCGCTATAGACCTTTGCAAAAATCGCCTTCTGCACGCTGCCATCTTTGTCTGCTGGGCTGTGGAACGCCTTCTGAGCATGCGCTGTTGGTCTGCTCTGATGTATATCGGATGTTGCGCATGCATCCAGAGCTCAGTGACTCAGCATTTTCCTCCCGGGCGCTTCGTTCGAGACTTCCGCTGGAAAGGTCTATACTATCCGACGGAACCCATCAAGCGGAGCCGAAAGTGCATCGTCACGGCGCACGTCGTCTTTGTACGTTCGGTAGACGGAGCGCAAATTCGTCTGCTTCTTTTGATGTCAGAACGACGCCGAGCTCCAATTGGCTATGATTGAAGAATAGTGGGTAGACCACAAGGCAGCTTGCTTTTAGGTCTGCCCACTCAGAGCCAATCAGAGCCCTTCGTCGTCCTGACGTCCCCACAACTCCTGCAAAAGTAGCAGACGAACTTGCGCAGTATCGACAAAACCAGTCACACACATTGAATGCACCGCAACCCTACGCTTTCTCCTCTGTTTGATTTGTTTAGCTGGTGAACCCACAAAGACAACGAGCGCCTTGACGAAGCACTTTTTGGCGCTGCTGGATTGATTTTTTTTTTTATCTCCCAGCGTGCGTGGCATTTATTGAGTACGCCATTAAGAATATCTTGGAGCATTATAGGACTCGGTGTGTGTGTGTATAATGCAACCTTTCCTTAAAATCTCACGGGCGAGAGACTATAGTTCCCACATTTGTTGAGAACTCTACTAGTCTACCAATTCAGGGGACAATTTGATGACAGTGTGTTTGTGATCAGTGGAGATTTTAAAAAAAAAAGTTAATGGTGAATGTTAAAAAAAAAAACAAAAAAACATGGTAGCGCTCTGGGGTGTCCGGTTTTCTTCTTTGTCCTCGTTCCAAAAGCTACCATGTTTTTTTTTTTTTTTTTAGCATTTTTGATAATACTTATGAACACATTCACGGATTATTTTTGAGAAAGGAATATGCCTTTTTTCGCGGCTTTGATCAACTAGTTTGGTTCTGAGCACGAGTGTTGGTGCCCATGTTAGAACGCATTTTTTTTTTCTATAGTTGTGTCTTGCTGACGAAAATGTGTACCTTTTAGGATCTTCCTGCAATTTCGGGACTGTTAATGATAGCAAAAATACGACGTTTTCGCAATCGTTGCTAGGACTTTTTTTCTTTTTATGTTTTATGAAGTTTTTTATGACCTCAACGTACGTTGTCGCAAGTCAGGGAGGTGAGGTCAAAGGCTATTTTAATTACACTGTACTGTAGCTAGCAGCATCCTGAATTACATTGAGTGTTTTTTTGTATTTTTTTTTATTTAGGCACCAGTTGTTCCGGAGTTGATTCTTAGAAACTGGCATAAATTAAGGGTTCCGTTGCTTACATTGCCGCACGCTCAAAAGTATGGTTTGCACCGATTAATAATTTCTAACCGATAAATCGCTCACCTTTAATCGACTTATTAAGCAGTAAATTGTGTGGGCCAATAAAATATGTTAAGACATAGCAAACGTAGAAAATTTGTGCTGTCCTTTTTGGGAACACATTTTTTGGTATTTGTATAGCTTTACCGAGCCAGGAACAGTACTTTTAAATATTGGAAGTTTATAGTATTTATTGCTTTATTTAGAGTACGAATAAATGTAAACTACTTTTTATTCACGCCAACTTTCCACCTATTCCGTAGTAATTTAGCAAACGATGCATGTGATATGTAAATACTGCATGGTGACTTCATTCAAACATGCGACAGTACAATTCAAACACATTAAATTAAGAAGCATTGAGTGAAAGTAAAACTATAATGTGATCCCCAAAGTTCGCTTTGGGGGATCACACTGTTTGAGCAATTGTACGTTTACCTTTATCGCAAAGAACTTGCGCCTGCACCCTTTGCTGCGAATGGTATTGAAGGAAGACAGAGTACGGTGTAAACTTTGGGACTAATTTGTTTTAATGCAGAATTGAAAGAAAAAGGAAGAAACCAAAACAAAGGAAGGGGCAGGAGAGAGTACTCTGAGACGCTTCGAGAAGCTTCAAGAAGAATTCGCTACCTGCAAATTCTTCGAAATAAAAAATTTAAAACAAACCATACAAAAGGAAGACATGGGGACACCAGGCAGGGCGTCGAGTGCCTAGAAGGCTGACTGGAGTTAGCGTCCGTTGCGTTTTATAAAACGCAATACTGCATAGATATGGACCCAAATACAACTGAAATATTTTTTCTTCAGCCTCCTCTAGTGTTCCCCTGCGCTCAGTGACGCATTTTTGATCGTGCGTTTTACATAAAAGCGAGATGTGAGCACGCTGAAAATTTGCACCTGTTTAGAATATAAAGCTAGATCCATAAAGAGGCGATTTTTTTAGTGTCCTTTTGGAAGGAGGCCGTCGACTCCCGCTCAATATAGACGACAGTCCAACGCGTCATTGCATATGACACAATATACCTCTCTTGCACTACTGATTGACTGGACCCTCAATCTTTTATTTATTTTTTTTTTCGTGCGGGGGTATAACATTATATCACCCGTCAAATATTTAACGTCGTTGAAACCAATACTTCGTTTCGTTCTCATTCCAGGTGGTTCTGCCTACAAGGACAATAAGTCACGAACAAATTCTTGAGACGTTGCTGTACCAGGCAGACACAGGCATGTTTCGCGTGCGCCAGTCTTACCTCGAAGCCGTCAACAAGAAGGGTGAGAGGTACCTGCTGAGTCCGGCGTTGACCAAGTACCGGAGGTAACGATGGCCAACGGGGCAGCGCCGACCGGTGGATGTTCGCGGCGCCTGACCATCGACCCCGAGAGCACGCCTCGACAAGCAGTATTTTCTTCTTCTTTTTTTTTTTCCACGTGATTTGGATAATGGTAACGGTAGCAGGAGGTGCCAAACCGCTGCCATGAACCTTAAGGCGAGCCGAACGAAGCGATCCAGGGAGTTACATTGTATGGTCGCTTAGTGATTTTTCGAACGATTCAATGCATAAGCCGGTATGAAATTATGGCAAGAACCTGCGTTTTTTTTTTTCTTTTTGTTTGCTGATTTTCGAGATTGAGAACAAAATCATTCTTGAGTGTGCTACCGTGTTGTGTAAGCGACAAATATAGCTACTGTGGCAGTCTCAATTCGTTGAATTGGAAAGGTATTTCCCTCCTAGTTTTTTAATTGTTTGCAATTTTTCTTTTTAATATGGGTAACACATTTTGTTTTTGTTCAACTTGAATAACGTCTACAGATTGTTGGAGCTTGAACGAAATCGCTTCAGATGTTAGGGTCTCTACGTGAATGGAACGTTTGGGTATACGTAAACAGAAAATACGCAAAAAGCGATCTGTGCAACTTTTTTTTTTTAATTCGTGTCTCTTGTTGTCTTTGTTCGTGCTTTGATTTACGCAAGTGCGCTCCAACACGCAAGTTGACATTTTCAAATCAAAGGATTTCACCCTTAGGGTGATTGATGAGAGGCAGGTCTGTGGTGTCTTGAAGCCGCGGTCACACCGTACATCATACAGAAGACAGTTTTTAGAGGCACTCTCTGAGGCGTGTCTCTTGTTTGTATGACGGTCACACTCGCCAGACAAAAAACTGTCTGCAGACATATTTGAAGCATGTTCGAAGAAAAACGTTTCTATGATGCTTGAGGCCTGAACCCCAGATAAATCCGCCATCGTGTTTTGCAAAGAACACCGTGTATTCTGTATGATGTGTGCGAGTGCGGCTTCGGAGGAGGACGAGAGCAAACATGACGCGTACAATTCATGAGATGCCTACACCAACGTCGGACGACTCGCATGGCTCTAACAAAGAAAACGAGGATTTGGTTCGACGGCATTTGAAATGTTGACGCGCGTCTCCACGATACTATTGGTTTTAATGACACTCTCAAAAGCTTTGTAACAAACATACCGGTAAGTTTCGGGTTAGTGGTCGTGTTACTGTTAGATCATCGTACCGAAGCAACTCCGTTTGGCATGCAGAGATGCGTTTAATTAAAGGGAAGACATTCCACGTTTTGGGTAGATTGTCGTGGGCTCTCTCATGCTTCGTTTCTGTTACTCGAGATGTAGTCTACGGCAGAGCGTATATCCCAAGGTATTCCTAAAGTTTCTGAGAATAAAATCGCATTTTTTTTTTTTATTTTTTATTCTTACTGTAAACACTAATTACGTAAATTTGAAACAAACAAAACGGAGACAAAGCTTTTTTGTCGTTCTTATTGGGCATATACTACAAATGGTCTTCCGAGTTATATGACGCAGACACGCGAGAGTTCGAGAGGGGTATTTAAAGTAACTTTAAGCGGTAAGAGTTTCCAAAATATTTATTCGGCACTCAAATTTGCTGCCTGTGCCGCGGTTGTCGTATTTTTTGTTTTTATTTTTATAGCTCTTGTATTTTTATACAGCAGTGTCGATTCTAAAGGGGAAACCCAACAGATGTTAGGAAAGTTCCCAATTATTTACACTAGTTGGTCCGTTTAAACGTTCTTTTCTTATTTTCACAAGCGCTTCTCACTACTAACCTTCATAACAAAAATGATTGACTTTTTTAAAAAAAATGGAAAAGGTACATTCCTTAACGGTACTTTTTTTACTATTCTGCCTTTTGCCACAATTTTTCTTTGCCTGCAACCGGCCATCAATGTACATTACAAATGCGATAATTGTCAAAAGCTTGTACGCGCACCATTGTTGCTGTTCGAAAAGAAGATGGAAAGAGAACACTGCCCAGGAACTCTGGTCCCGAAGGCAGTTGTTTAGTAATAAAGTTTCTGAACATTCTTGAAAGCACCATGCAAACAAGGGGATATTTTCTCTCGTACAAATATGTGTCGCACACCTGCTTGTTTTAGCGTAACTGGTTTCTCTGTAGATGTGACCTTGCACGCGCGAAGCACAATTTGTGTGTCACTTGTCTTGCATTGTGGACAATTACCTCAACTTACCTAAGCAAATGAAAGGTCACCCCACATTTACCACGTATGCTGGCTTTCTACAATGTGGGACGATATATTGCATATGGCGATTCACGCGTCAAAGCAAGCTTAATAATCTAGATTTGTCTAGAATTAGGAATGACTTGATAGATTCGATATATTTCTTGTCGGAAAAACAACAACAGGTCTGAAAACATTAAGTTTGAAACTGGTCCTTGGACAAAATTAGAAGTCGTCAAAGATACGGGTGCGAAATTCCGGTCAGTACTCTGAAAATGCCTATACACCGACACGCGGGCTTGACGTCACGGAGCTGCGGCGGCGCTGCGATCGCGCCGGAGCCGGGGGGTGTGGGCAAAAGCGCGCACGTTTCGCATGGGCGTCATAGCATTTCAGCTTGCCGCGAAGCCGTGTTGCCGTTAATTGGACCGAAATGTACAAGAAAAGCAGCGGAGTGAGTTTCCGCAAGTTCCCGGCAGACTCTGAAAGGCATAGAAGCGAGATAATATCCGTGGATCGAAAAGAATGGTCGCCTCGCGCGAACGACCGTTTGTGCGGCAAACACTTTCTTGAAGGCATGTGCGGCTTCCATTTCAATCTCCGTCCCGAGGCTTGCTTATGTGTAGGGAAACCGTTGTCTGATCGAGACCACTCGGAATTTGATCCCACGGTGTTCGCGCACAAAGCACCGGCCAAGCGCTCGTCGGAGGCTCGGTATACGCCCGTGCTACCCAGCAGAAGGGGATCGGCGACAGAACGGCAGTGTTGTAGGCGTTACCGAAAAAGAGTAACGAAATACGCTACTCGTTACTTGCAAATAAAAGGTACGCGTTACTGAGCTACGTTACTTAAAAATAAAAGGAACGCGTTACCGCTGCCGATAAAAAGTAACGCACGTTACTTCTTTAAAATTATAATTAACACATTTTACGGTTTTGACGATACAGGTCATATATCAAGAAACATTACGTTCATGCAGAAACTGAACATAATTATTTATCTCTTTTTACGGTTTTACCTAAATACTTACGAGAAAAAACGCAAAGAGAAACATGGCTTGACGCCTAAAATACGGAAAAAATTTAAGTGCAATTTCTTTAAGAATTGGGAAGTAATAACGACTAACGTAACTACGTTACTTGAAATAGTAACATAAATACGTTACGCGTTACTGTGTCGAAAACGTAACGAGTAGGTTACTACGTTACTGAAAAAAGTAACGCGTTACAAACAACGCCGTTACTTGTAACCTGTTACCGCCAAGACTGCAGAACGGACAAACCGTTAGTGATTTGTCATGCCTTGTGGTCATGAGAGTAAAAAAATATCATACCTTGACTTGAAGACGTTGTGTGTATTTAATCAATTAATGAATACACACTCTTCCGCAGACCCAGAGTCTGCTGATCCTGCCGGCAGAGCGGAAACCGACTCGAAGTAATCATAGACCTCGAGAGACTTGTACGCCTTCACCGTGTCGGCCGTGAACTGACTTGTCGAAAAAACTAAATATACGACGACGTGAGCCGTCGACTTCCGTGGCAGCAACTTTACGTCGGAAGTCCAGCAGGCCTTGTTTACGGCGTACGGATCCTCGTAGGCAGCGCCGCTCACGCACAGTTTGTTTCGATACCGCTGCCGTTCAGGCTCGTGTAGCGAGCTCAAATAGTCGGGCATAGCATACGACATACCTTGTGAGAAAATACGACGCACAAATAAAAATACAACAGTCCGTACAACGTCAACAACGAGCGCACGCCATAGAACGCAATGGGGAAAACACGGAGAGCCGGGCTGCTTTTGCCCACACAGCTGCCGCGCATGCGCGGCCTTCCGGCCGTGTTGGTAAACAGAGCCGCTCCGCGTGTCGGTCTATATGCAAGGATCGGCATTAGTTATTCGTGTGTTCACATTCCGGGTTGTTTCACTGTGTATGCGAAAAACACCACGTGCGCAAAGAGGTAATCTCTCGTATTTTGATATACACACGGAAGTTGCAACATCAGGAAATAAACATATTTTATCACCTTAATGTCGACAAGTTTGTTCCACGGATGTTTTGCCTTTTTGTTTTCTTTGAAGCTATAGCTTTAGCAGCCTCTTTATGCGATATGGTCAACACTGAACTCGTGCTCAGAAAGAAAAAGTACGGACATTGAATATATGTTTTTGTGTACATAAATGTATTATAAGGTTGTTATTGTCCTACTTATAAAGAATCCTACTATGTACAACACAGGTTCCTTTTGTAGCAAGATACTGGGTGATATAGAAAGTTACAAATGTAAAATGAAACTTCTAGACAACGTCAAACCGGACATAATTACAGCTGTTCTTAGAAACAAGCACGTTCCTTTAAGTTTTAAGCATAGTGCCGCATTTTTATTCATGCCTTCTGATTGGTTGTAGATTGCGTTAATTGTTGAAAGGCACATTGAAATTTTCGATTGATATTTGCATCTAGATAAAACAACCTTATTTCCGAGTCATGAAAATGACCAAATCTGGTGTGCGTGCGGGTTTGTCTTTTTGTAAATCCCAGTTCATGAGTTCATGACGATACCCTTTCTATTGAAACGGCCACATTTCCCTCCGAAAATGCACGCAATGTAGAACAACATGTGCAACATTAAATAAAATCTTACACATGACTGCCTGGTAGAGACCAATTAGCGGATGAGAAACATTTGTTCTTAAACTTAACACAACGTAATGTCGTATTATTACAAAACTCCTGCGATACTCTAATTAAGGCAGGCGATATAATGGTCGGATTGCACAATAATTCGGTAAATCTTAAATCTAGTTAGTGTCAATAGACCAGTGTGGTGCACAATACCGAGCTTACATTTTGTTAAGTA